GCAGGCAGGCAGGCAGGCAGGCAGGCAGGCAGGCAGGCAGGCAGGCAGGCAGGCAGGCAGGCAGGCAGGCAGGCAGGCAGGCAGGCAGGCAGGCAGGCAGGCAGGCAGGCAGGCAGGCAGGCAGGCAGGCAGGCAGGCAGGCAGGCAGGCAGGCAGGCAAACTGATGAAGGTAAACACGAAATAGCAGAGGCAAGATCAGCCTTCTGGCTGGGCGCGGAGCATATGCGACCGTCACCCGAGTTGTCTTGGGATGCCTGCTCAGTGGGATGCATGGCTGCTGCTGGGTAACCCTGCTGCCCCCGCCCGGTCTCTTCCCCCAGGCTGATTGGCCAGAAGGGTGGCTGGATGCTGGCTTACACACAACAGAGTTGCTTAAGAGAGGCAAAGGGGCAATACAAAGGATAGGGGCCGAGCGACTGGCCCTGCAGTTGCTAGCTTGGCCTGAATGCGGCGAGATCCAGGCGGACGTTTAAAAAGCAGGCGGAGTGTCACCCGCAGCTGCCTGCGCATTGGAGCTGATTGCGCGTGACAAAGGTGTCATGCTGATGCCAAACGCCGGCTCAGGACCATCGAGGCAAGTTGCGCGTCGCAGCGTAGCAGATGTTTGGATACATCTCGGATGGGGCAAAGCACGCAGCGCGCTTGCGCGAAGCAGGTTCGGTTGGCTTTGATGCGCACACCACACGGCCAAAAAAGGCCGGAGGTGCTCCTTGCTCCGCGAGCCAGAAGCAGGCACTTGCCGCGCGGAGGGCAACGCAGTGCCTGGCGGCCTGGATTAACAGCTGAGGCACAGAAAAGGCTGTGATACGAGCTGCACAATGCCGGCCATTGAGCGTACAGCAGGGAACCCAGCAATCAGGTGACGAAAAAACATCAGGCGCCCAGCAAGCGCTCCAAGAGCCGCTGCTCGGCCTGCACCTCCTCCACGGCCGCGCCCAGCCGCGCCATCCCCAGGTCCACGATGACGCAGCGGCCCCCTGCTTTGGGGGCCCCGTCAGGCCGCCCGTCGCCGCCCCTGCCTCCAGCATCTCCGCCGCCCTCGACAAAGAGGATGTTGGCCAGGCGGATGTCTCCGTGCACAAAGCCCTGCACGGCGTTGTGGAGCTCCCGCAAGGCCGCAAGGGCGGCCGCGGCCACAGTAGCCGGCAACGGCATCAGCCGCGACAGCGGTACGCCCGGCAGCGCCTCCAGCGCCACAAACCACACGCCGTCCTTTGCGTGCCCGGTCCCAAGCAACCGAGGCACCAGCCGCCCCTGGACGGCCGCTAGGGCACCGTACGCTGCCACTTCCTGTTGGCACACGTCCAGGCCCTCGTCGTCTGGCCCGTACAACTTGATGATGGCCGGCTGCCCCGCGTAGGTGCCCTCTACGACCAACCCTGAACAGCCCTCCATCAGAACGCGGTTGAAAATCAGCAATGCACCACGCGTGTCGTCTACATCGCTGGCAGGGTTTCTGTCCTGCCGGGCCTTGCCGCCACAGCCGCCGCCACCGCTGCCATTGCCACGTATGCTACCGCCGCCCCTGTGTGTGTGTGTGTGTGTGTGTGTGTGTGTGTGTGTGTGCGCGCGTGCGCGCGTGTGTGTCAGTGTGTGTGTATGCGCGTGTGCATGTGTGTGTGTGCATGCGTACGCAGGGGGTACGGGGCAGAAAAGGCAGCATCCAAGGCAGTATGGAGGGCGAAGACTTGTGGTGTGAGAAGATGATGTGTGCAAGCAGTATGAGCCATGGGCGCAAGTGCCAGCATGCAGGGATCAGCAGGAGCAGCAGGCACCCGCACAGCCACACCAAGCAATCCAAAAAAAGGCATGCTAACCCTGTTGTGCCAAGCAGGTCGCAACCAGCCTCTTAGACCACCCAATTACGCGATTGCACACACACGAGTAATGCCCGCACCTTGCACCGCCCTGCCGCTGGTCTGCAAGATGAGCGGGCGCTGCGGCGTCCGCCGATGATGCGACGCCGCGACGGCCGCTCGGCCCTGCAGGTGGTGGCGGCTGCTGCGGCGGCTGCTCCTGCTGCTGCTGCCCTTGCTCTTTGTTCACCACAGCCTCCAGCTGCAGCCAGCCCAGCGCAGCATACACACTTGGGTGCATTTCATCGAGCTCATAGGGCCGCGACACTTCCAGAGTCGTAGCGGCATGCGGCGGGCGCCAGACCAGCCACGTCCGAAACCAGCAGGACACAAACGCGTACTGCAGCTGCAAAGTCTGCATGTACTGAAACACCTGTGCCAGCACGCATCGCGCCTGCCGATGGCAAGGTGCGGCCTCGTCGCACCAATCGTCAGCAAGGCTTCTGCACAACAGTGCTGTGGGCCGCTTGATCTCGCCTATGCAAGCGCACCTGCTCCCGGCCACCTCATCCTGCTGCTGCTGCTGCTGCTGCTGCTGCTGGCTGCCCTGACTCGCAACAAGTGCAAAGTCCACTTGGATGAAGGAAGGTCGGGCCTGAGCAGCCTCGCCACCGTCGCCTGGCCTTGACGGCGCACGGAGCAGCCGGCCGCTGGAGCTACTGGTCTGGTTTGCCTGCTGCTGGGGCAGCTCATGGGAACCTGTCTCAATGCTGCTCGCACCAACAACAAGGGCCTGCTGCAATTCGCTTGTGGTGGGGTGCTGCTCCCAGACCCAGCCGCGGCTGGACAGCAGTTGCGTCAGGGGGCTGAGGGCAAAAGCAAACAGCAGCGAGCCGGCTGCCGCCTCTGACTTGACCACAGTCGTGTTGTATGACACAGGGACGGGCAGTCTGCACGCATTGCAGAGAAGCAGGAAGTAGTTGGTAAGGGTGGCTCCCAGGTAACGGCACCCGTGGCAGGCGCTGCAGCACTCCAGATGGCCCATAAGCACGGCCCGTTTCCGAAATGTTGGGCGTACATCTGGAGTCACAAATTCAGACCGCATCGCCCTCACCGTCGCTCGGTGTTATCAGCGGCTGCCACAAATGCTGTGATGCACGCGTCGAGCTGCTGCCCCTCCACCTGCTGCCACAGCCTCACGGCATGCGGCTCAGTGTGCCGCAGTGCGCTGCTGGAGGAGGTGCTGCTCCTACCACTGCCGCGAAGCCCGCCTGCGCCCAGCGGCCGGCTCAGCAGCTCCCTGGCCGTAAGCAAAGCCCCTAGAGGGCGCGGTGCGCCAGAAGGGTGTAAAGAGATTGATGTGGTCCCAGCCCATGGCGCCGCAGCTAAGCACATCATCAAGACGAGAGGACGGCTTGCAGAGTCCGACAAAACTGCGTGATACAACCAGGGGTCGTTCAGGGTGATGATGTGGATTGTAAAAATGCACACAAAGCTCACCTGATGCTTGCAGTCCCACGCCTGGACAGCACGGGAAAACGGGGTGGGAGGCGGCCAAAGACAATGCATGCACGGCGAGGGAGGCCCGCGGGTGGTGGGAAACAGCATGTGCGGGGGCAGTGAGGAGGAAGAGGAGGGGAATGGCAGCAGCAGCATGCAAGCACTGTCAGCGTAGGCCGTCAGGTGACAAGGATGGGGCGAGGTAGTGCTGTGGCCACGTTGTGCACACCTGCTGCAAGCTGTGCCCAAAGCTGTGGGGTGTAAGGACACAGCCTTCAGTGCTAGCTCATGCAATGTTCTAGCGCCTGGAGCCACTGCGTTGCGCGCCCTGCAGTTGGCAGCCTCGCACCTGCTGCCGTTTTGATGTCCGCTACGTGCCAGCTGTTGGTGACGCCAGCACGTGCAAAATCCTCCAAGCTTCCACTTGCCAGCGCTCCTGTACTCCGCACGCCGCAAGCCCACAGCCGGGGAGCATACCCCCCGTAAACACTGACTCTTGCGATCAAAAACTGCTCCAGGTCCTTGACATCAGCAAACTCCATGCCGTGCGGCCGATGTCCACAACCACTGCAAGCTGCAGCGCAATACAATGAGGGTAGAGGTTGTTTGGCGGTGCACAAGCATACATTCGACACTGGCTGTTGGCGGCCAGGCTGGCACATCGAGCTGCATCGCCGTAATGGCGCTGATCAACATCGGCATGCAGCTGCAGGGCAACAGGCAGGGTTGACACTGCTGGGGTTCTAGCTTCGCCCCCCTATGCAAGCACCCTTCCAAGCAGGGCCCCCAGCTAGCGCGTACCGCGCACGTGGTGAGGACTAGGCCCTGAGCCACCTCGAGAAGTAGCAAGACAAGGTTGACGACAAATGCTGTGAAGGGCTGCTCTAATGTGGGAGATGGAATGCTGCTTGGGCTCAGGCCAGCAGAAGGACGACATGCATGCAAACTGCCAAGCATAAAACAACCCGTCAAATTCATGGACAGCAGACCCGTAGGTTCAATCCCGCCAGCAAGTATGATAAACACGACCAGAGTGGTGCGGAGCGCACAACGTGGCAGCGCAGGCAGCAGCGCAAGCAGCGTGGCACCACCAAGGAGCCAGGCCCAGAATGTTTCCTACCTGGAACCAGGATAAGGTAACCCTTGGTCTCCTTCAGGGGCAAGCTGCAGCGCAACACACGGACGGCAGTGAGTTTTTTCTTGGGCTCCTTCGCGAGGGCCGCTTGCGCGATGCCTGAGCCAATCGCCTACTCCCAGGCCGTCAGCAGTTCCCAGTGGCATCACAACTTTGAAAAGTGTATAGCCCAATCAAACCTGAAGGTGCGCTTGCCGGCTAGCAATCGAGCTGCGGCAAACCTAAGAATGTGACCAATAGAAGCCACGCCAGCCCATGAAGGACCACCAAGCCCTGTCACCTGGTATGCCACACAGGTAGTCACAGACCCAGAGGAAGTGGCAAGCCTATCATAAGCAATCTGAGGCGGTCTAGGTGGCGACAGGTTGCATTGTATGACACGTGTGTTATCGTAGATAGGATTTGATAATCAGAAACAAAAAGCAAACGGAAATAATATGAAAGCAGCACCTGCTGGTATGGTATTGCTGGTGCTGCTGTAAGCCCTGCCTCTGCAGCCGCAGATGGTGCTTCCTTTCATCCTTGTCCGCTGGGCATCCGGCAGGACAAGAGCTGCAGGAAGCGTGGTTGACTAGAGGAAGTAGAACGCACAGCTGTATGCACGAGTAATGCAAGCCAGCAGGAAAGATGCATGCGCGCCACACAAGCATGCGCACAGCAGCACCAAGGTAGGACGAGGCAGCTACAGTAGATGCAACGCACGCAAAGCAGGCACGTGCGCAGCGAACTTCATGACACTGCTCCTGAAGCACCAGCCAGCATGATAACAACTGTGTTTTTGCATCAGAGAGTTCGTACTCATTCTCTTCGTCATCATCATCACCATCAATCCGCATGCTGTTGCATTCAGCAGAGAGGGTAGCTTAACACGAGATTGCCAAGCAGACACAATCAGACAACATCCTAGCAACAAGAACACCAGTTGAGAGAAAGATCAGATGTGTGCAGATCAGCATTACTACCCCCACAATGCTAAGCGCTGCGGGTCTGCTCCCTTGTGTGCGCAAACATAGACGGTTCTCATGTCCTCCACAATTGGCCGCTGCCTCCAACACTGCGTGATTTGGGTTGCAGCGAGGTGGTGAGCGCCTTGAGGATCGATTGTCGCAAACAAGAGCGGGCCGTCCTGCGTTATTGGCCTCAGCAAACTGATGAACGAATCCCGTAGGTGGCTTTATATGCACAGCGCCCTACTCACAGCCCATCCACACGCAGCAACTTGTTTGGAACCATCGTCACTATCACTAGCCATTCACCCGTGGGCGATTCAGCAGGCCGTCCGGCAACAACAGGCAACCAACCCCAATCACTACAGGAGGCGCCCCACAGTTTGAACACCAGGAGGTCACAGCAGGTTCGACTCATGTCGGTGCTGCTGCAGCCTCATCAGCGAGCCCCGAGCCCTGCCTCACGGTCGGAACCACATACCTTGGATTCAAGTCCCGAACTGCCAACTGGCTTGTGTGGTGCTCGGCGTAGTGCCTAAAGGTGTCGTTGGCTATGCTGTCTCGTAGAATTGGGGGTCAAGGTGGTACCGGGCAATTCACGTACTGTGATAGAGGGACTGCAAATCACGACTATCGGACAGGGATGCCCCACGCTCTTTGTGCAACCGCGGGATGGTGCAATCATTCTAATCAGTATCCTTTGTGCACTTTGCTGCTTGCCGCCTTGTTACCGTATCCCGGTTGAGACGGTGACGGCCGACTGCGAGTCCGTGGTAGGTGAGGTGTACTTCCAGTGGTGTGGGCTGTTTGCTGAAGTATTTGGCATAGTTGAGATGAATGAGTGCTAGGCCGTATATTATGTTGGAAACATGCACACACCTGTGCGCATACACAGCAACCTGTGCACTCGCGTAGCTTCCTGTCACTAGACACCATCGCGGTACGCACTGCTCTGCTACCTGTTTGGCCCTCTTAGGGCAATAGGGCCCTCTTCTGATTGTATTGGGATCTGTAATCAAGGTGCTTCCTTATCGTGAGTTGGCAGCCCCCCACTGCGTTCTTGAACCAGTGGTAACCCGTGTGCTTGCTCAGCCACAGGTCACAATTCAACATATTACACCCAGTTGATGGTGGTGCCAGGCTCGTGCTGCTTGCAATGGGCGCTGCTGGTAGTTTCATGGGGCACATGGCAAGGGTGACTACACTTGTACGTCAACACTGCGATTTACACTTTTGTTGAGTCCTTCAAGTACATTCCTAAAACCAGGACTGGTGGATAGTCAATATTCTCATGCCTGAGGTTCAGAACGCCGTGGCGCTCCCCGCCGGCCCCGCGTGCCACTCCGCCGGCGCTCACTCTTACACCCCCTTTCGCTCAAAAGCCTGGTGTTTCTTGCAAGTTCTTGTGCTTTCTCTGGCACCACCACGACTAAAGGTGCAACAACAACTAAGAGCGCCGGCAACTACCACGAAACAACAGTAAGCAGCTCAAGCTCTTGCAGATTGCGTAAAATTGTTTGATTGGGTCCCCCGTTGATTGGGTCCCCTTGCCAGCCACTGCCAAGCCTGCTGATCATGACGACTCCAAGAACTGGTACTCGCCGGTGTTGTGCTTCCCGGCTGCATTGGCCAGCAGGATGGCAAAGTAGTACTTGCTCTGGTTGGACACCCGGGTGACGGCCAGCGACGTGTGGTGCGCGGGGATGTCTGTGGTGGACGGCGGCGCCTTGAGCGACTGCAATGGCACCTTGTTGAAGGCGGCCCATACAGCGGAGCCCACCCCCATGGGCGCGCCGCCGCTGGCGGGCGCGGGCTCGA